CCTCCATAGCCGTGACAGGGCAGGACGAGGATTCACAGACGGCCTCCTTGGCCGTGACAGGACAATCAGAGAGTTCAAATACGGCCTCCATAGCCGTGACAGGACAGGCAGAGAGTTCACATACGGCCTCCATGGCCATGATAGGACAGGCAGAGAGTTAATAAATGAGCGCCGCCACCTCTGGAGGTTCTGCAGCAGGTGCCGCCACCTCTGAAGGTTCTGGAGTGAGATCAGGAACTGTTGCGGCCTCGTGAGTGGATTCAGGGGCTGGAACAACCTCAGGAGGAGTAATTGAGCAGTGAGTTGCCCAAACACAAAGGATAGCGACCCCCATTACAGGGAGCACTGAGTGGAGGGGAATAGTCTCTGGAATAACCCGTGCTGAGGCCCTTGGAATGCCCGCTGCTCTAGCCGAGACCAGCGGTGGATCTGACACACTGGATGCCAGTCTCGGATACCTTGGGACTGGCCTTGTAGCAATGGTCATGGTTGACCCGGTGTGACGTGACTCTGGACGAACAGCTGAGACATAAGATGTTAAATGGGCCAGTTCAATAAAGTCCAACACATAATCCTCAATAGACCGCTCACCTTGACGGAGACCAATTATTTTTGCTGCTGGATTCATGGCTGGTCTGGATACACTCATAAAGCTGCTGGATCCGGGTGTTGGCTGATTATTCTGTAACGTGGGAGGCGTGACAAAGGAGTTGAGGATCCAAATGCAGCTTTTATTCACAAGAGTGGTCAAAACAGGCAGGGTCAAACACCAGCAAACAGGTACAATCCAGGGTGAGACAAAAGAGCAATCCAATAAACAGTCCAAGGTCAAAAACAAAGAAGGCAAGGCAAGGCAAGGAAACACAGAGACTCGGAACAGGGTACAGGCTAAACAATAATCAGCAATGTGTGTGTGGATGAGTGCAACCTTTATAGTGTCACTGATAGGAAACAGGTGTGGTGCAATAATGAGTTCCTAGGCAGGGGTTTATGGGGAATGGAGTCCGGAGAGAACAAAGACAAAACCCCTTATCGTGACACCTCCTTTGCGTGAGGCTACTTTGCGTGCTCTGATTGGTCCGATGACCCAGCCTGTTGTGATTGGTCTACTGCCTACAGCGCATGTCGGAAAAGGAACACCCATCACCATTACTGGATTACGGCTTATCAACAATTGGAGAGAGTACACAATGTATAGATATAGAAGATGGCTTCGATAATAATGATACTGCTGCACTCTGTTTTAAAAATAAAGAATCAGAGGGGGAAAAGTTGTTCTACACTTGTTTTAAACTTGTATGTTAGTCCTCAGCTTGGTAGTAAAGACCCAAACAATAATGGTATATGCATTAGCCGAACACAAACATGGAGTACTGATAAATTACTGCAGTTTTTAAACCAACTTATTGCTCCATCCTTTATCATGACTCCAAGTAATAAGAATGGCAGACATTCTATATTAATCAACACATTTCTAGACAATAGCGGGACATCAGCCAGTGGCGGCGCTAATGCGGGGCTTGACGGGGCTATAGCCCCATCAGAAACTTGCTTAGCCCCCCCAAGGATTTCCTAATGATGTTCCTGTTTTTTGGTGTCACCTTCATTAACATTCAAAAATAAACATTAAAAACCTAAAGAAAAAGTGCCTAAGATGTGGCCTATAAACAATTGATATTATGGGGCAACGCGCAAACTGTGTGCAAGAGTTATGCAGATGAACATCAGTCAATTCACTATAGAGAAAGTGAAAGTAAAAATAAAACTGACAGAGATTTCTAACGCTGCATTAACGGCACATATTCTCTGAGACAACGAGAGATGAAACTACTTCAACATATGCTCATAACGGTATATAACTGTCTTAAATTATTCCCTTAATATTTCTCTTGTGGCCCGTATAGTGAAAAACATGAGAAGAAACATCTTTTGCGTTAAACAGGTTGTTTTTGAAAATCGGTGCACGAAATAAAGCTGCTCTTAACCCTTTAGGCGCCAGGGATTTTTGGAAAAATGCTGGATTTTGACATCAAGATTTCAAAAGCTTGTGGCTTGAAAGGGCTTAAAGATAGGGTAAATTAGAAAAATGTTGGGCATGACCAAAGTTTATGTGGGGTGTAAATATACTCGTCTAATTTGCATATTATGACGTCATCGGGGGCGGCCATCTTGAATTTCATAATATTCAGGAAATAGTAGATATTGAATTGATGTTTGAACTTATTTACGTTTT